GTATGGGGAAAGATCTTAAAACGGGAGGATGGCACGCGGGGTAGGAACATATATCCAAAGTTTCAGCCTTCCAGCTTTCTTGGTTGCCGAGTTGAAAGTGGGTGACAAAATGCACACACACACAGCCTCTCGACAATTTGCGTTTTTGCTGGCTGTAGCAGCGCTATAGCGCTTCACAGCAAAAACGCATAATAACATAGCGATTGCGCTCATCAGATTGGCATCTTTCCTGCCAAAATTTTTACATGACCACAAGTGAGAACTATGCATATCTGATGGGTGGAAATTAAAAGTTTAAGGTGCATGTGAAATGGAGAAAATCCCATTAAAATTTCAGTTTTCCAGTTTTCCGTCCTGTCGAATTCGCTATTTTTCCGCAAAAAAAACCATATGTTCATACATGAGAACTACGTTCAACGAGAGGCGGGGCGAGAGGGGGTAAGATGAATTTAAAATTTTTATGTTTGGATGGTGATCGTCCTCTTGAAATTTTAGCACTCCAGCTTTTTTGGCTTCCGAGTCAGCAATTTTTCCGCTAAAACTTTTACGCGTTCGGACATGGGGTGGCAGGTGGCCGGGGACTCCACTGGCAAGATTTTAGCGCTGGAGCTTGCTTGGTTGCCGAGTTAAAACACAGTAGTGGAGAAGTAGCTGCAGCAATGACAGGAAGAAACACAACGATAAAACGGCAGCTTGTCAAAATTTATCAAAGTAATCAGTTTCTTGCTCCTCAATTTATCAACAGACTTCGGGCCTAATGTATGAATGCGCAAAAGCCTAATGCTTCAAGCTCAAATAACTGGGTCCAAATGCACCAGTGCAAAACCATTTTTGTGCTTCGAAGGCTTGTGTATTTAGTCGCCAGGGTCCGAATCCTTGGTAAAAGCTTCTAGAGTTTCTTTGTCTGACTTCGTTGCTTCTCAATCACTTTGGCCAGTTCTCAATCACAATTTATTCCTCCACCGTGCAGCTGGCGGCTTTTCCAGTTGCTCTGCTACATAATGAGGCTCGTTTTGCCCACCGGGAAATTACTAGTTCAATGATTTTCTTGACTGAAGGACTTGGCAGTGGTTTTGCCATTTTGAAATGTCACTGGTTTTCTCTGTGTGTGTGTGTGTGTGTGTGTGTGTTGTGTTGTGTACGTTGTTGAGCACTATCAACTCGTAACAGGTGTTACAAATTCCTAGATCCCAACGAGGCTTGTCTAGTGGGAAACATTATGTAAAAGAGATTTGCATTTTCTAAAAAAATTTTCCAAGGCTGACCTTCCATTCTTGAAAGTCCTTTGTTGGCTTGATTTTTGGGCAGTGAAATGCACGTGCGTGTACTGCATCGCCCCCGAAAAGCATCAATGTTATTTTTGTTTCATTCCTGAAACAAAATCGGTTGTATAGCAACTACGCACAAAATTCGGCGGAAGAGCAATTTTTTGGATCGTTACATAGTAACCTTTGCCCACCAACTTTGCTAATGATGCATGGTTTGTTAATAAGCGGTCAGGAGTGGGAGGCGACAGAGTAAGGAGGGGGGAGTGGGAAAGCAGAAAGGGAAGTGAAAAAGCGGAGAGCGGAAGGAATCGAACCCTCATTTTAATCATTTCCACATCCTTCGTATAATGACCTATTACAATTCCGGCTTCTCAGCTTCCAAAATCCTTGACATTTTTTGCCTCAGTGCACATGCACACACACGCAAACAAATACTTTCTCTTTAAGCATCGTTGGGTACTTTCCTAAGGGAAAAAAATTCATTAAAAAAATGCATATCAACCTTTCGCCGCCATTGTTTTGACAATAAAGGTAGTCAGCAACTGCGCATACAGTCATATTCGTTGCTTCTGGTAATGATCCTAACAATCTACACACTTTTTTGGCATTTCCATTCGCAAGAATATGACGACTGTAATCGTTATCCATAGAGTGTGGGCCCAAAATCATTGCCACTGCGCCTTTAATACGATCCTGGAAATTTTCTTTAAAAAAGCTGAACAATTCTTCTTTACCCATGGGCCAGTTTTTTTATAAATAGGCAGAAAAATTTTCTAATCAGAAAGGCCGGTTAAGAACTATCTCCACTGAAACGAATAGGTGCGCTCAACACGCCGGAGGCATCCTAAAACTGCTAAAGCCTCGTCGAGAAACCAGTGAGCTGGTAATCCTTTCAGAAGACAAAGCGAACA